CCCCATTGTACTTGTTAATTTACAAGCCCACCCGTATTTTAACCCACCAAAATGAGGACTTTTTCCACTTTCAGAAATTGGCCTCTTTTTGGCATTTAAAATGTGTATTTTTTCATTTTCCCATGTGTTTCAGTTTCTAGTTCCAACCAGCTGCTAAAGCGTTGAAGTAGTGCCAAAGTGTATGTTTTGGCAGTATTTCTGGCCCAAACAGATGTGTAATTGCTGGTATTTCCTATTAGAGGCTATACTCTTAAAGTCAGCACAATTTGCAGACTGGAGAGGTTATGATAATCATCTAAACATTTGTTTATTCGAACTGCTGAACATTTAGAGACTTACCCATGACTAGAACTATGTCTAATACTGAACTAATGTTAAATCTATGTAGCCTTTCTTTTCTAGTAGGCAGCTTAGAAGTCTTAAACAACGCATTTGGAGAAAACAACATTGTTCTTTTAGTCCTTTGCCTTCTACAGTCCCTTGCTCTTTTTCCTTTAGTTTCAGATCAGTTTGTTCCAATGTTTCCTGTCAAAAATCGTTCATCTTAAAGCTTTCTTTTTAATGGTTAAAAAACAACTGGCAATTACACTTTTATAGAATGAATTTACAGCTGATTGTTATTTTAGTTATTGAACACAATGTCTCTATATAAATTGGCACTTCATTGGAAATCATGAGCCTTTAATAAGGCTGAAATATAAGGGTTGGTGTCTGGTGTTTGACTCTTTCTCACTGCTATTTGAATAGCTAGATTTATTCACATTTTGAATATCTGGCTTTAATAAACTTTATCCCTGCTCCTAGATGCTTAAATTATAATATGGTAATTTTAACTAAGATTCCTGGTATTATGTGTCTTGCCTTTTTCTTGTTTAAACGTCATGCTGCAGTTTGTAAAATATAATAGCAAAGCAAAAAGTTTTAAATTGTCTTACAGAAACACTTTAAAGAGCCATGTAAATTATTTAAATTGAACACTGTGGACCTTCTCTTCCAAATTTTTATTCTTGGCAGGTAAAGGTTTACTTGTATGGCTAAAGGCCAGAAGGGCTAAAGATGAATTATTATTTATTTCCTACTAGACTTCAATTACCATATATTCTGTTTAAAAAATTGAATCATATCAGTTTATGTAGTCACGGTTGTAACCAAGTTTTTAAATGTATTTTTACATAGACCATAGACTTCCTTTTTTGCTTTTCTTAGATAAAAATAAGTGTCACAGGAAAAGCTATCATTCTAAAATGCTTAGAATTAATTATTAGGTTTAAACTCGCCAATACAGAGTGTGGATCTTAGAACCACATTCATCTTTGTAATGTACTACAGTGCTTTGCACTTAGGTGAGATAACTGGTAAGAGAACTAACGGCGAGAGTTTCTGTACATGTTAGACCTATTTTATCTAATAATTCCATGAAAAGATGTTCTGCTGGTTAATAGGAATAATGATGTCCTACAGAATGTTTCTATGTAAAAATATTGTTGCTACCTGCACTGAGGTTAATCTGTGATTTCTTATTATTTCAACACATGTAAATACCCCTTGACAATGCAAACCTAGTAATAATTGAAATATACATACCTTGAAAGTTCTTCATCGGTTTCTGTGTGGAAACATTCCATTTTCCTATGCATGTTCATCTAGATGAAGACAGAATCCATACATAGGTCCAAATTCTGTATACTGGACTATACAGCTACATGTGTGCAGGTAAGCCTGAAAACAAATTATTTTACAGAATCAGGGCCATAGACAGTTAACAAATGAATTGTTTATGAATTTTATTTTGAAGTAGTCAAAAAAATTGCCACTTATGACAAATGCAGTACATATTTTAATTGTTCTAGCTGTGATTTATATTCATTGCCATTTGTTTGCAATCCATTAAATGTCATTTTTTTAAAGTTGCACCAGTTTTATAATTGCAGATTGATAAATTGTTATCATTCAGGTACTCTTTGTTCATAGATAATGTATAACATTTCTCTTATGAAGTAAATGTCAAATTTGTAAATGCTTTATACTGTATTCTCTTTTGGTAATCTACAACAGTTTATTTTTCTGCACTGAATTTTAATGGTCTGAGGCAGCAGTAAAATAAAACCTGTGAAGAGAAACATTACATATGTCCTTTCATACTATAATTGTACAAAAGAGATCTTTCCAGTTAGCCAAAATCATCTGAGGACAAAGTTGCTTTTCTAACATTAGTCAGCTAAATAATTGATTAAGGCATATGCAGCTTCTGAAACTCCATTTGGTCTTAAGCTCTTTCCCTTTTATTAAATGAAGTTGTCATCTCCATCTGAATTACAAGGGAAGGCAGAAGGGAGGAGCATTAGGTTTTTTAATGCATAGTAGTTGTAGCATTTTTGCCTAAGCAAGCACTGCAGACCCAATTTTTGAATACATGAGAGCAGTCCTTAGTTTGTGAAACTATGCACATAAGTAGGGACTATTAATACGAATAAAGGTTATTGGGCTAGGCCCTAAAAAAGGACTGAAAGATCTGTTCCAAGGTGTATGTCAGAAGCACAACATTATATTCTGTCTCCTTTTTGCATGTATACCATAATTACTCATTGTTGAATCTTGACTCAGCATTAACTGTAAAATGGCATGTGGGTTTGGTTATCTCATCTGACTGCTATGACTGACTCTATATGCCACAGGAGTTCCGGAGAAATAGCCTACATCCTGGACTCTTAGGAAGGTATCTATAGAAAAACTTGTTGGATTCATATGCAGATATACTTTGTATAGGGTGCTTATCAAAGCCACATAACCTCTGATGCATTCAAATACCATACATATATTTTTATCACATGGAAGCCAGAACTACCCTTATCTTCAAACAGTTTTATGGCCTTCTTTAATACAGCAGCACAGTTATTATGGTAGTTATGATAATGATACCATGTCCTCCCAATACTGGCTGCAGACTGGTTTAAGCAACTACTAGACAGGGCAGCTAATTTCACTTGTCAACACTAAACTGTGGAATTGATGGAATAATGCCATGGAAAGGGGTCACTGTGCCTTCTCATTCTCGGACACAATTTACAAAGTGTAAGTGGGTAAGGGAAGCATATTTAAAAGCCAGAGCCCCGTTGCTGTATCCCTCATCCACAGGCAGCTATCCCCTCTGCTTACAGAAGTGAAAGTGCACTTAGGCCTTGTTTATTTCCTTCATAATGACAACAAAATAGTTGGATGTGTAATAATGCTCATTTAACAAAATGGTAAAATTTAATTTTAGTGACTTATTAGCTCTAAATTTCAATTTTTTCATTAATTCTTCAGGTTAGCGGCATCATTGTTATATCATTGAAATTCTGCCATGCCCTTTAAAGGGCCTTTGATGCCGCCGTTAATTAAAATCCTGATGTGATTAAACAGACATCAATACATACAAACATCTGGATTTTCAGTTCTCCGGTATTTTAAAAACATGCCTTCTGTGCCTTTTACTATACTAAAATATAAAAGTGTAATGGAAATTGATTAAGAGCAGATATTGCTAAGCAGGGATGACTCAAAAATCATGAAATGGCTGTCTTCTGTGAAGTATCACTAACTCAGGTTAAATTCTCAAGTGTATTTGATCCAAACAATACAAGTAGCATTTTAAAAGAGGGAATGAAAAGTCCTGGTAATATAGCAAGGTCAAAGTCCTAGGTATCTTTTTTCTGCACTTGTTGAAGTAAAAAAATAATATTTCTAAACAAAATAATGAATTCAGAATGTTTTGTCTATTGATTTTTTTTTTTTTTTTTTTTTTAAGAATAAAAAGGCCTGCTTAATTCAAGTGTTTGTTCCCATTTTTATTTCCATCCTGATTTTTTTTTTTTTTTTTTTTTTTTTTTTCCCTATTTCATAAATAAGGTGTTGGATTGATAGCAACTGTACCCTGGCTTCTAGGAACCTATGTACTTACATGCTGTAATACTGAATGTAAAAATGGCTAATTTTTAAGGGGGGGGTGTTGCCTTAATGGTTGAAAAAATAAAGTATTTTTAAAAATTGGACCATGAGTTTTTAATGAGTAGGGCAGCCTGACTGGTGTTTCATTTATTGCTAGAGAAGTCTGAATTCAATATGACCAGTGATTTACAGCTGTCTAGTTCCCTTTTTGAAGCAAATAAGTTTGCCACCCTTTGCAGGCTGTATCCTGCATTTTACCAGAAAACTGCAAATTGGATCCCCTTCCTGCAAACACAGTGTATTACTCTTTATTTGCATGCTAACGTACGTAAGTAGTTGCACAATCAGGGTCTGTGTTAGTATTTCCAAGCTTAGTCACGAATCCTCCCTACTTCCACTGGTGGGTATCCCTGGAAAAAGTGTGGTCTTCTGTAATATTGTTGTACCATCGCAAGTAAAACTCACTTAATGTAGAACTTTCTCCTTAATGATTCTGCCTTCTCCTAGCTTTCGATTTACATCCTGTTTTGGAAAATGCAGGGAAGCTTCGCTTAAGTGAGTAATCTCAGTGATGCCACTTCTTGTGTGAGCTTGAACACAGAAATAAGTTTTTGTGGGCACTCAAACGTTCTGTGGTAGTGCAAAGCACTAGGACAGCTGATATATTAAGGTGTTTATTGCATAGTGTAACTTATGCACTTTGAGGACATTCTTAAAGGAGAAGGTGACAAGAGTGAATTTAACCTTGCAAGTAGAAAGTCTGTCCGCACAGAATGAATTGCAGGATTGGAGCTAGAGTGGAAGGGGGCAGCTAAGGGTCCATTCCTATGAGCCTTATGCCTGTAAGTAGTCTCACTGAATAGCCTTTGGATTAGGTGTTCCTTTTCTGATTTGTTTTGTTTTTTCAGCAAACATCAGGATCTTCCGTCAATGATACAGGTGCAACAGTAGAAGAGGGTGGCAGCCTCATGTTAGCGTTACAAACTGGTACTCGCACAGTAGTGATCAAAGATTTCTACTGTTTACATTCCACTACTTGATAACGATTGGTTATGTTAAGAAACGCATGCATAGTTCTTATAAGCAATGTGGGATTTGGAAGTACATAGTTTATTGTAGGTCTTTACACCGTGAGAAATGGTTCAAAAACAGTAATGAGTTCCAGAATTTGACTACTAAGCTACAAGTTCACATCTGGCTGGGGTCAGCCATGCATGTTGTTAAGTTACTGTCACAACACTTAGGGATATGAATACTGAGTATAGTAGTCTTTTAGCTTAGATCACATACTTATCCATGCCTTATTTAGTGAGCTAAATTAACTCTAATTTTCATAGAAGTACTGTCCTTCAAAGCTTGAGAAGGGAAGTAACTTTAAGTTGTATTGAAGTGGTGTCTACAAACCCACCAGGCCTCTTGTACCAGATGCTGAACAAGTGCTGAACTAAATGACTGTCTTTGCCCAAAAGTACTTAAAATAACTCAATACTGGATTAGACATTCATTTTTAATAAAAAATAAATGGTTTAATATACCCAAAACAGTCCACTTTTTTAACTATACAGTCCACTTTTATACTATACAGTCATAGTATATTACAAAAGCTGAGAACATGGGAGATGTTAACCAAGACATTACATTCCTAGAGAAGAAGACTAGCAAGGTCCCCTACCAACAGTGTTTTCATGTGTTCATGAAGCATTCTAGATGTTTCCTTAAGAGATGTGCATCCAAGTGACTTTATGTGAATATTTTATAAATAGTCCATGCAACTGTAGCAAAGCCAATAAGATGATCATGAAGAAAACACTTGAGCCAGGTAATTCTTTCCCATAGTAATTGCTTAACCTATCCATGACTCGCCATATTTACCCAAATCCAAAATGACCCTGAATTTAAGATGGCCCACCCCAATAATTAGATTCCATATGTGGAAACTTTATAAATTTGTTATAATTTTTCCATGTATAGAAATCTAATTATTGGAGGATCATCTTAAATTTGCCCCAAACACCACTGCATTGGGGAAAGCAGTGGAGGTAGCAAGCACAGGGTGGGGATTGGGGGGACTGCAAAGGGACAGGTAGGGAGCAGGTAATTTGCCCCCTCCTGTCTGTCCCTCCACCACCACCTAAACCCATTGTGGCTGTGTCTATCCCCCACGCAGCCTCGGGCCCTCCCCTTCTCTCCTTATCTTGGAATTGAGTAAATATGGTAAATTTAATTCTATTTGAATTCCTACTTCAGCTGTCATTTAGTTGCCCAGTTCAGACCCGATGGAACTTCTTGCTGGCTATCCTGCTGAGCTTTATTTGCATTTTGACCTTACCTGACAGTGAAATGAAAGGCACCAGCTCTTTCTCACTTGTAAAGAAAAACATCACGCAAGAAAGTTAGCTGCCCCGTCCAAGATCACCCTCATGTGACCAAACACCAAAGTGTTTTCAAAAATGTCAACTCTGTGTTCTGTGTGTTCTCACTTTTGAAAGTGTGACGTATCAGATTCTTCTGTCTACCTAAAATTTGTTAAAGTGAGACTGTCAGGCTGACAAGCTTAGATTAGATTGTCAGGTAGACAGATGGTAAAGCAGGGTGGAACCTTAGAGGCAGACTGGCTCAGAGAGGTGTGAGCTTTGGTAGGAAACAACCTACCTGATTAGATGATAGTATTTATTCTTGGGTAGTGTAAACTAAGTTCCATAGAAGTATGTTGGCTTATACCAGTTGACAATCTGCCTGCCCATTAAAAACATTTTTGTATTAGTATCCAACATGACTGATTATCATTTAAAAAGTCAGAATTTTAAATTGTACTTTTTAATATTTTATGGTGTTACTTTTTGTACATGTCATTTGGATTATGATTACAGGGCAGCCTGTTTCCATTTCTAATTTTCCTGCACCAAGTCAGTGTCATGGTGCCTTCATTGCAAACCCAGGAATGTCTGAATTTGAATGTACTTTCATGATGATTCCTTTCATGACTTACTTGTGGTAAGTTGATGAAAGTCATTCCTCTGTCACAAAGGTGTAAAATTCATTTGTCTCTGTGGGCTGGATCTGGAGCACAGGGCTCCTCAAAGGCTGGGTTTAGACCCATCTCAGACAGCAGAGCAAGCAGCAGTGGCATTAACCACTGCAGGTACCTGAGCTGCTGTCTCAACTCAGAGTGCCACAGGGGTTAACACTGCTGTTATTCACCCATGGCCACCACCAACATGAGTCCTCAAGTAGGCTCCATCTTCCTGGAATTTGACCATGAGTCATGCCCTGTTGCACTGTCCTCAAAATTCCCAGCCTCTCCAGAAGTCCTGCATCCCAGATGAGACAGGTCCGCATGCAAGATGTGGCCTGCAGGCCTTGTTTGACACCCCTCCGCTGTCATAGAGAAGGAAGATTTTTAGTGGGACTTTTTTTTATCCAAGTCTTCTTGTATTTCCAAAGGAAACTCTTCCAGGTTTTTCTTAACGCAGGGGAGGCAGAACCTTTTTGAGTAGAATAGACTACATTCCTGTAAGGAAAATATGAATAATTAACAGCGTACAAAATGGAATTGGCTATATTTCAGCTTTTTCTAAATTATACTGTGTGTTCCCTTCCTCCTCTCTTCAGTCAAGTAGGAAGAACATAATGAAGGGGTCCTTGCACCATGGCAAAGTTGGGATAATGGGAATGAAGCCTGAAGGAGCTTTCTCCCTCCATGACTCCAGGAAAGGGCCAAAGACAACTGAAGTCCTTATGCCTTACTCCAAAGGAAGCTACAGGAAGCCTTCTCTCAGGGCAGCACGTAGCTCTACAACAGTTCAACTCTAACTTGTTCCAAAGCCTCAGATCTGCTGCAGACAAGACCAGTCATTTCCCTTATCTGGAATCAGGGAATGGCACCTGGATCTGGCATGCTTCAGATACCTGGTTAGCCAATGCTGTAGGCCCAACCTTTTTTACCCTGAAATGTGGTTGTTATGCAGGAAGTGGTCAGGGAACAGATGCAATATCTTAATCTAGCTTGCACTGCCCCAGTTGGCCAGCTTTGCAGACAAATTGACTGGGTTGCATTCTTTGCCCTGAGAGGGTGTAAATCTTGTAACTTTGCTGTTCTCCAGACCACTAGATTCCATATGGGATTTCACAGCCAAGATGCAGCTGGCATTGGTGGATTATTCCTGTGGATTTAAATACAGGTGATGACATCAGCTCAGATGGATGAATATATCTTTGTGGAGGCAGCAGACTCCCTGGATGTTACCCGAATAGTAAAGTGCTCCTTCAGGGCTGGCTGTATGACTGACCTTGTTTTAGGTGACTGGTTTGCATGTATCAGATTCTCTGCTCCAAATATCACTTCATGCATTTCAGTGCCAGGTTAACTCCATGGTTTTACTAAACTGATAGATCTAATTCTCTGTAACTTTTCAGGCTAGTGAACAGAAAATTGTTGCCTGGTCTTGCTTCTGGTGCCGAGCATATTGCTTCCTTCATGCAGTCAGAGGTTGTGTGGCACGTTAAGAATTTGGCATCGGTTTAGACCCCTTAGAAAGCCCCATTTACAAAATGTTATATTTCTATTATATGGTCTAACTAGGCTACCTACTACTTTTGCCCTGTGGGGATCCTTTTGTTGCTTAAATTGCCAATGAAAAAGTGGAGATGTGAGTTTAAGCTGCTGTGGTATTACTATTTGCAATGCACTGTGCCCCAAGCAAGTAGGACTATATCATGCTTGGCCTAGGACAGACACAATAGGAGAAAGCAACATTCCAGAGAGCCTGTGAGGAAGGAGACAAGAGTGGAAAAATTATCCCCACTTTGCAGGTAGCAAACAAAAGCCCAAAGAGAAGGCACAGATGCACCAAATTTATTTACGTGCCTCGGTTGCACTGAAATCATTAGGCATTCGGTGCCCAAATGGAAGGTAATGCCTTTATGGTTCTGGGCCTAAGTGCCCAAGCTCACGTATGTAGGCTGTGGCACAGCTAAGAATGGAGTGCTTCCTGTATGCCAAATCAGTGCCTTATCTACACATCCCACCTGCTCTTTTGACACCTTAGAAGATGTACAGTCTATGGATATTGAAGATCATCTTTAATCCTAGTCCTGATGAGCGCTGTCAGGATCCAGAGGCATTAGACCTGGTGGGTTAGAGTTAGGGGGTGTTACCAGCATCCATAATGGGGGTGGGGAGCAAGACGAAGTTAAACCAGGATCATGCACCAAGCCAAAGGGTTACTAGAAGTGGATGTGAGGAAGTAAGCCAAAGTCAAGGTAGGATTCACGTGCCGAGCCAGTGTTTTACCAGAAGTGGATGTCAGGAAGAAAGCCAAAGTCAAAACAGGTTCTAAAGTTCAGGGACTGGGTACACAGGCAGGAATGAAGGAACAAACACCAAGGAAGTCACACAGGTAAGAGTTACTCCCAGACTGAAGCCAGTCTGTTGTGCAGCAGGGCCTAGGTACTTGCAAGAGCACCTTAAAAGCAGTCCTAGAACAAATCCAGCAGGCTGAGCTGGGGCTGCTTAAGGGCTTGAGTGTTGCTGACCTTGTTGCCCAGCTGCAGTGCTGAGGCCTTACAGGTGTCAGTGTTGTAATACCATTGGCCATTCAAGCATTGCACTGTTGTGCCAAAGGTCAGCATCTGAAGTTGTCACTTGCTGTGATGTGCCTATACATTCTACATTGGTGGGTGGGGGGCAGGGGGAGGAGCAGTAGTTTAAGATATTTCTATTAAGCTAAACAGCCCACAATAGTGTATGGGTAGCTCCCCTAATGTACTATTTTTTGCTTGGAACAAGCTCTGAAGATTTGCTCAAGCAAATGCTTTCCCCAAAATAAGGTGGTGGAAGGTCATTGTAATATGTGCTGCAAATTGCATCATAACAACTGACTAGAGTGAAAATAACTGAAATACCAGTAAATGAAAAATAATTGAAGGTAATATACTGAAGAGTCCAATTATGAAGGAAGCCCAGCTATTGAGAACATTCATCGTGTTTTGCTGATGACACTTCTGCACATCAGCTGTAAATGAATCCATTATTGCCTGGTAAATTTAAGTGGTATCTCATGATTATGTTGGACTTAGATCTGAGAGGCCCAACAATGAAAGGTAACAAATTACATCCAGTGTCCTGGGTCAATTTAAGGAAAGACAGTTCTTGGGTCTCTCTAGTGCAGGGGTCAGCAACCCCTGGCACGCATGGTACACGAGGCCATTTAGCTTGGCACACCAGAGCTGGCCTGGGCTCTGGGCAGCTGTTGCCAGCCATGGAGTCCAAGCTGTGCCCAGCAGGCCACTGACAGGCTTCAAGCCCTGCTGCAAGCAGTTCAGGCTCCATGGCTGGCAGCAGCTGCCCAGAGCCCAGGCTGGCTGCAGCCAGGAGGCTGCAAACAGCTGCACCAAGCTCCAGAGCCCGTGGCCAGATTCCATGGTGGCAGCGGCTGCACATGCATCTGGGCAGATTGTGGGGGAGGGACCAGGGTTGTGCTGTTCTAGGTTCCTTCCCCGCTGTCTGCCCAGAGGTGGGTGTACACCTGCCACAGCCACAAAGCCTGGCTGGGGCTTCAGAGTCTAGTGCTGTTTGCAGCCTCCTGGTTGCCTACCACAGCTGGCCCAGGCTCTGGGCAGTTGCAAACAGGGCAGGCTGCAAACAGCTGCACTGGGGTCTGGAGCCCCAGCACCAACTCCATGCTGGCAGCAACTGCACGTGCACCTTGGGATACAGGGTGGGGAAGGCACAGGAACAGCATGATCCTGGCCCCTCCCCCACCATCCACCTGGAGGCACGCATGTAGCTGCCGCCAACAACGAGGATCGGGCCCCTCACAGCTCCCCTGTAGTCTGCCCTTAGCACAGGAAGGTGAGGTGTGGGTCAGGGTTGGTGTGTTTTTGGCACTCCAGCCAAAAATGCTACTGAACCCTGCTCTAGTGGAATTACAAAGAACAGTAGTAGGCAACTGTCGATTCTTCTAGATCATGGTGTATGCACGAGAAGTCACCAGGACCTTTGACACAAATGCCTAGGCAGAAGTATGAAGGAGTGGAGGCTGCTAAGACCTTCCATCCCCTCTTCAGACAAAATCCAAAGGCCAGACTGAGTCCAGAGGTTCAGTGCTTCAATGGCTGTAGTTATATGCACATCCAGAAAACAAACCCAGGTCTCTTGTGTGGCAGGCAAAGAGTCTACCACCGAATCACAACAGTGTGTACAAAGTAATGGAACTAAAAGCAACCTGACTCTAAAAGTTGTCCATTCTAGCAATCTGGTTCTTCACTACATAGTTCCAATGAGGTAAATTATAGGTGGTTAGCTTCACAGGCTCAAGTTATAACATAAATACAAGCAGATCAAGAGAGGGTCTGGCTTGATTCATTGATACAACCACAAGTCAAGGAGCCATAGACCCTTGACTTGTAATCCTAGCTCTAACTCCCTCTGTGGTCTCGAGGAAGTCACTTAACCCATGTCCTACTTTCCCCTACATGAAAGAGGAATAATACATATTTACCTGCTGGATGCAGGTGTTTAAAGTGTTAATTAACATTTTCTGTAGCTCTCTTCCTATCTTACCAAAGTGTGTGTTGCTACATGTATTTAATAACCATACTTGTACACCTAGCTCTCAAGCGGGCAAGCCAGTTTGGTAGGAAATTTATTCCAATATTTTGTAGCCTTGATCCGATCGACTTCACTGGGATTATTTCTCCAGGATCAGGCCCTTGCTCAGCTGTCACTTGCCTGTTCAGGTTAGCTACCCACTGCTGCATGTTTAGTGTCATCATTAAGAACCTCAGAGGTTGGTTTTTTTTTCTTTTGCTTTGAGACATACTATTCAGAAAAATCTTGATAGCTCTAGAAACAAAAGAAATGTGCATAAACAGCTAAAGATATGAAATGGCTTCTGACAGCATAATACTAATGCCCTATACTTTGTTTTGTCCACAATGAATCAGAACATTTAATTAGCTGCATTAATCTCTTAAATGGCAGAGCCCCTCCTTCCTATTAAGATTCACTGTAATGTGCTTGGCTGAAACTTCAATTTTGGGACAAGTTCAGCTGGTGGAATTGAAAATGCCAGGCATTTTGGAAATCAGTTGCAAAAGTATACTGATCATTAAGGATGAATTTGAGAGCCTGTTACTCTTTTTTTTTTTTTTTTTTTTTTAAACTAACAATTTGAGCAGCAGACAGCTGGAATAAAACAATTATCAGCAGCAATTTATAGTTTGACCATTTTCCAATTTCCATTCATCTAAGTACTGGAAGAGATTTCAGAAGGGAAAATAACTATCAGGAAAAAAGTGTTGCAACTTGGTTTCCCCCTCCCCCCTCTCCCCACCCTACCCCACATTAAACCAGTGAGCCAGATTGCTTCTGAAGTCAGTTGAATTGGTACCAGCATTCTTGGCCCAAATTCATCTTGAAAAGAGGAGCAAAGCAAAATTTGGCCCTCACTTCTTCAGATATGTAAAAAAAAAAAAAACAAAACAAAACCCCCCCCACAAAAAACAAAAACAAAAAACCCCCTTGCATTTGTCCCTCTGCTTCTTCAACCCTAGATTCCATGTAATCAGACTGGTATTCCCCTGACACTCTCCTCTAATCAAGTATATGGTTTGTTTTGCCATAAGTACAAAAGGCCATCAAATCGGGGAATGAAAATACTACGGCTTCAGCAGTAGTGACATTTTTTTTTTTTTTAATCACTGCTGTCGTTCACTACCTGACCCAGTCTTTTACTCACTAATGACCACTCTGATGAAGCTGGATATAGCCCCAAACTACTATAAGCAGAGATGAGCTGAAAGAACTTTGGAAACTGCCAAAACTACATATTGTGATGCCATCAGCTGAGTTCCAGAAGCCTTAATACTTAAATACCACTCCCTTAAGTAGGAAATGCAAGTGTTCTTAATGAAGAATGCTATCGTTCTGCTGCTACTGGACCAATGGGGTCATGCTTTGTCATTTCTAACATTTTTGGATGATTGTGCATCTTTTGTCTCTAGCCATTCAAGAGTGTTCATAATGACTCTTGCTGAGGAAAAGGCTTTGATTTAAATTTTCTTGCACTGTCCTCAAGTAAGATTCCAACTGTCCCACTGCCCTAAAAAGTTGTGTTTCAACTTATCTGCACTCAGCTTTCAACGCTCTGCAGATTTGTGCTGGGCTCCCAGGAAGTGCCACTTGAGGGGAAGAGGCAAATGTGATGTTTAAACTACCCCTTGTGCCTTCTAGACTCTGGGCTGCTTTAGGGACTGAAATGGTTTCTGGCTTCTTTCGACAGTATTTGGTGCTGGAGATTTATCCCACCTCACCCTTCCCCTGCACGCCTTTTACACAAGGATTTGCCAGGGGACATGGAGGTAGCATGGCTTTCTGGAGGCCTGTGTCATACCTGTACTGGCAAACTGTGGTGCTTTTATAGCCGCTCTACACTGGCAGGGCAGTGAAGACAAAGGAGAAATTGTTTCATGTTGTTCTGAAAATCTGGAAAAAGATATGACCTTATGCAGCAACTTTAACAATGCTTTAACAACATGAGAAACCATGTTTTACAGGAACTGGTAGCAGAGAGAGCTGCTTGGTACACTGCTGTCACTGTTTGATCTTTTCCCCAAGAGGTCACTGAGTCTGGAACAAAAGCAAGCTATAAAATGCACCATGCATCACATGTTACTTACTGTGCCAACACACACCCGCCTGGTACACAAACTGCACTGTGATCCGAGGATAAGGAATTTGTCCTTGTCGGGGGTGAAAGGATCCTTCATGACATAGCTTTCTTCCAGGAGGCTAGGAAGGAATCAGCTCCCATTTAAAAAATGGACCACTTTGCAAAGGAAAATCTGCTAATAACCATTTCATTAATGCAGGGTGATTTCTCAAAAAGGGTGCTATAGCACACTGGAGTGCTGTGAGATCCTTGTAAGCATGCCATAGGGTACTGCACAGTACTAGCACTGTTGTGTGTGCAAACCCCTACACATGATTCACAAGATAAACTCAAAGATTTCAAATAGGAATCCACAGTGTCAAAAGCAGTCTGCCTACCAGTTGTGGTCTTTGAGTTCTTTGCAACAAAAGAATTGCTTTCACGCATTTTTCAACTACAGAAAAATAAAAGCTGGTGTTAACTGAGGGGTGCTTTAAGTCTAAAAACATTGATAACCACTGGATTAGTAATGTATGGGTGTTCTCAGTGCTCCACCTTTAAATGTATCCTGTGTTTTACAGGGATTTCTCTAGGCCATTTTAAAAAATATATGCATTTTCTTTTGACAAACGCCTTTACTACTTCTAGTTATGTCACTCCTGTGAACTTAGGGTTCAGCCTTTCGTAGGCAAGAGCTGTCAGCATGTAATGATAACATGATCTAAAATATTCTGAGTTGTGCAACTGTTGCCTCAGGACTACTGAGTTGGTTATCTTTCATTAGGTACTTGGCAACTTGTGTGAGAGAGCTCAAGACACTGTTCCTGACTAGTTCTGGGCACAACCCTGCTGAAATTTAATGGTGTTGATTTGCATACAGCACCCTGCAGGACTGGATTACTATTTCATGCATTTCATGTAAAATCAGAGATTTAAAGACCATGGTGATATTGAATCTTTTTTTTTTTTTGTAAATCTTAGAAGGAGGAAACGGCATGTTTTTGTTTGTGTGAGAGACAGTAAAGCTTTGAACCATGTACCTTTAACCCATGTTCCAGATTAGGTATGATTTGATTGGACTTCTGTGTTGATTTTGTATAGTGCTACACTAGTCCAGATTATGAGATCCCATGGTAATGAGATCTGCTATAAAAAAAAAAAAGAAACTATACTTACACAATAGAGCATGTGTTGGGAGGTTTCTGCCCATAATAACTGTATGGAGCTGTTAATCCACATAACTGGCACTCAAAGACTCCTTTGGGCTGAGCTTCTTTGTGGGTATCCATTTCTAAGCTGCACATGTAAAAAACAAACAAACCACCTTTTCAATTTGGAATACAGTTGTGGGAGCATCACTGAAGGTGATAAAACTGGACTGCTCTAGTACCACTGTCTGTGGTACTAAAGCATGTGAGAAAAGATTTCTTTCCCCACAATCAATAGTTGGGAAATAATTTTGGTTGGCAAGTTCAAAAGGTTTGAAGAGCAAACTGCCACTTATCTTTTCTCCTCTTGCAGTTGAGGTAATGGAAATGTATAATCCACACCCCCTACACAGCTTTGAACATTTCAGCCTTGGTGCCTTCTCTAGGAAGGTATTATTTTAGAGTTAAATCCAAAAAAGGATGTAGGTGCATACTATGGGACATAAACATCTTAAGTGCAAAATGATGATCCTGAAAAATCCTGTTTAGTTGCTTCCTAAACCTGTGGGACATCTGAACTTCCCTGATACCTCATGTTTTGACTCTCAAGTTCCCCTCAAGGCTACTTAGTCTCGTGTCTCTATGCACACCTGGAAATATGTCAGTCTGCAAGAGACTGAGCAGCCTTGTGCCTATCTCTTTGCCTAAGCCCATGAAGGATTCATAAACGAGGATTTCCTTTGCTCAAGTCACCTGAAAGTCTTGATCATGAAGTTATTCTCAGAGGCCTATACCCCAAGGCTACTGGCTAAGGGAGTAGGGGCATACTCACCTACTCCTGTGTAAACTTTTCCATTGTACAGAAAAGAATTCACGATTCATTGGATCTGAAAGAGCCCAAGGGACTTATCCTCTAGGCTAGTAGTTAGACCCACTAGCTCTAGGGAGGTGGCAAATATGGATATAAATTCCCTCAGGCAGTGAAGGAATTGAGCCTTGGCCTTCCATTTCCCACTATTTCTAACCACTAGGTCAGTGTTTCCCATCCTTTTTTGCCCCATGGCACACCTACCTAAATAAAAAAGTACTGCAGCACACTGGATTGGGGGAGGGGAGGGGGGTGGCAGCATGCAGCCAGCTGGACACTGACCGGGGGGGGGCAGCCAACTGGAGGGCATTTTGGGCTGGAGCCACGCTCCCCATCTGTTTGTGGCTCCAGCCAGGCAGCAGGGTGGCTCCAGCCGAAACTGCAGCAGCACACCCGGACGTGCCTGATGGCACACCAGTTGGGAAACAGTGCACTAGGTAACCACTAAGGAAGTAAAAGCTGTTCAGTCCTTGAAGGAGAGACCATAGGGCAGCAACCTTCAGAAGTTTCTAGGCTGTGGACCCTAAATGGAGGGACACATCTTTTTACAGCTCTGCTCAAGGGGCTGGACTTCAGAGACACGCCTGGACTCAGTATTTCCTATTGGCTAAACCAGTGACTATCAACCAGGACACTGCAAGATCCTGGATAATAATCACAATATTAGCACTGTTAGATGTGCAAACACTTACACGATTCAGAAGATAGATATAGGAATTTCAAATAGGAATCCACAGTGTCAAAAACATTCAGACCTGTTGTGGTCTGAGTTCTTTGCAACAGAAGAATTGATCTACTATTTTTCCCTTGTCAAAAAAATGAGTGAAAGGTAAGAACCAGCCCTTTCCAGGATGCCTTGAGTCTTGAAAAGTTGAGAACCACAGGGCTAGACCTAGATACCCTCTGGTCAGTACACTAGCTATTCTAGACTTAGGCGAATTAATGTATGGGCCCATAGGGGCCCAGCCCAGAGGCCCCCTGGGTGCCTGGGTTTCCTTGGGAAATGGAGGGTTTCCCCTTGCAGGCAGGCAGCATTCTAGCCTGCAAGGGGTCCTGCTTGGAGCTCCCAGGAGCAAGACACGTGCACAGCCACACACATGCATGTGGCCAGGAAAACAAAGGGGCAGCATGGAGAGCAGCTCCCTGCAGGTAAGTCTATGGAGGGGAAGAGGTTAGGGTTGGGGGCAGATCAATGACCTCAGGGAGGGAGGGAATGGGGCAGAGGCAGGGGCTGGGGCGGATGGGGAGTGGGACACAGCCAGACAGTGCATTGGATCTGGGGCCGGGGTAGGGAGCCAGACAAAGCCATAGGCAGTTCATCCAGGGGGCATAGGGGAGGAAAAGGGGGCTCGGCTCCCCACCACTGCGTGCACCCCCCAGGGAGGTATGGGGTGGCATGTGCCCCCTCTGTATTTGTGCATGGGGCAGATGCAGGCTGCTTGCTGTGGGCTCAGGGCTCTCCACTCTGCTGCCTTTCCTTCGGGAGCCCTATGTTGGCTGCATGCCCCCACCTGCCCAGCAGCAGTTGGGTGGTGAGTTGTGCCTCCTGCTGCTGGGCAGACAAGGCATGCAGCTGGTGTGGGGCCCCTAGGACAAAGGCAGCAGAGAGGAAATCCCCAAGCCCACAGCAGGCAGCCCACATCCACCCTCGCCCCACTCAGCTCCTCTCTGGCTCTGTGTGTGTGTCTTGTTGGGGGGGGGCAGGGAGGAAAGGTGGGCATGTGCTATCCCACCCCCAGCCCAGACGCATCCATTCAGCCTCCCCTGCTGGGCAGGGAGGCCCACCCAGCAGCAGTAGCACCAGGAGCGGAAGGGGCCCCTCCCCCCCGGAGTCTAGGTCGCAGGACTGGGGCCTGGCTGCAGGGGTGGAGTGGTTTCAGTTTCTCCAGGACTGAAGTAGCCCTGTGGCCCTGCTCTGGGCAGAGGGAAGACAGCAGGGAGTCTAGTCCAGAGACCACCCAGCCCTGGGCAGCCAGGAAGGCTCGCACCTTCCCCCTCAGCCCTGCTGTGCAGGCTCAGGCAGCTGCCCCTTGGCACTTTTACATGTGCTCCGGGGGTGGGGGGTGGCACTTCAATTAGAGTGGCTCTGAAGCCATTCTAATTAAAGTGCTGCAGCATCTCATGTATCAACATCCCTGCGCTTAAAAATGGTGGTGGCGGCACTTGAACTAAAGCTCATTCATACTCGAGGCCATCGGTATAGCCTGTATTTTTCTTATAGTAGTTTACCGTAACGTAGATACAATGTAAAATGTGTATGTAAAAAAAATAGTCAAACAAGAATCTACATGACCAGTAAATTAAAATATCTTTCCTCTTGTGTTATTATACATTGATGGTGATCCCATGCATCTGAGTAATTTTCCTACGGCAGTTGTTTTATTCAGTTTTGTGCATGGTAAAATTGAGTACTTAATTTCAACATCATGTTTTATGTTCTATTAATGCACCGTGTAAACATTTAATTTTATTAATGCTTTTTGATGCATTCATGTTTATAATGGGGTGTGGCAGGCCCCCAATTTTCTGTTTGCCTGCAGCCCCAATAAATCTTAATCTGCCACTGATTCTGGATCTCATTCTGAATCACTTAAGCTTCAGAGTGCATGGGGAGAACTAAATACTTACCACTGGTTCTGGATTCCACTGCCATGGTCATGTGCCTAATCCTTTGGTGCCTACATATTTTTTTTCTTTTACACTCCTTGTTTATCAAATAAGCCTTTAAGGGTTGATCTTTAGGCCTCTCTTGAAAATGCTAGTCAATGAGTTAAAAATTGTGCTCTCTCTAATCCCATGCCATTTTAAGTCTGGGACACACCTTTCAGGTATATCATAAAGCATATGGAAATATATTTTATCAAAAGCATATGATATTACATTTTTCATATGCACAGCCAAGTGTGACCAAATTTTGACAAGCCCAATGCCTGCATACACCTGCACAAAATTAACACAGAGCCATAAATTAACCATAGATGCTTGTTTGCGTGCAGGGTTACCCAATTTGAATGCACAAATATGGCCACGCCTCTTAGGCTGCTTGAAAATTATCAACAAGGCATTCTTCCTGTACAATTCCAGATACTGTTATGGCCATACCATGCTGCAATTCTGTCAGACCTTATCACCCAAGCAGAGTTGGCCTGGGTCAATGATTAAATGAGAGCCCTGTCTAAAACATGCACCCGGGCTGCAGGAAATGGGGCTGAAGATCTGGCAACTGGGACCCTTCCTTTGGAACTGGTACCAAACCAGTGTCCTAGCACACTGTTTAGGCAGAATAGTGCTGCTGGAGGTGCTGTTGTAGATTAATAAGAAATGGCACCCTGGTCACTTGTCATTAAATACCACATCACATCACCATATCACATCTGGGTGCTAGAGGGTCGCACCCAGAGAGTCGTGGTGGATGGGTCGGTTTCAACCTGGAAGGGTGTGGGCAGTGGGGTCCCGCAGGGCTCGGTCCTTGGACCAATACTCTTTAATGTCTTCATCAGCGACTTGGACGAGGGAGTGAAGTGTACTCTGTCCAAGTTTGCAGATGACACAAAGCTATGGGGAGAAGTGGACACGCCGGAGGGCAGGGAACAGCTGCAAGCAGACCTGGACAGGTTGGACAAGTGGGCAGAAAACAACAGAATGCAGTTCAACAAGGAGAAATGCAAAGTGCTGCACCTAGGGAGGAAAAATGTCCAGCATACCTACTGACTAGGAAATAACCTGCTTGGTGGCACGGAAGCGGAAAGGGATCTTGGAGTCCTAGTGGACTCCAAGATGAACATGAGTTGGCAGTGTGACGAAGCCATCAGAAAAGCCAATGACACTTTATCGTGCATCAGCAGATGCATGACGAATAGGTCAAAGGAGATGATACTTCCCCTCTATTGGGCACTGGTCAGACCGCAGTTGGAGTACTACGTGCAATTCTGGGCGCCGCACTTCAAGAGGGATGCGGATAACCTGGAGAGGGTCCAGAGAAGGGCCACTCGTATGGT